AACGTGGCAGGCAGCTCTTGGGGGGGGGGGTCGGGGTGATTATGCTTTGCTTTTCCAGGTTCTCAGGGTTCCAAGGGCAGGCATTACATCTCCAAAAGAAACAACCACATCCTTAGAGGCGTCCTTATTTGATCTCTGGCCAATGAGCCAAGACAAAGTGAGCAGAGACCATGTGCTGTGACACCAACATCTGAGACAGCAGGTCCCAACCCCACCAGTGCCCGGAGGATGTGCCCCACTCTGAGGTGACCACAGGGTGTGCCTGAGGTTGGGCATGGCTCTTCAGCAGAGACCAGAGGAGAACCACACCAGCCTGGAGGACACGAGGTTCCCCTGCCGGCCAGCTGTGGACCAGCCATGGAATACAAGGGGTAGCTGACCTATTTTGTTTTGTCTGCCTTTCTGTGTCAAGAAGGAGAACAGGGGCCCAGACTATCCTTTGAGGAGCCCCCTCTCCCACTCCCTTCCCCCTGGGGTGGCCTGGCCAATCTGCAAATCTCACGACCCTTGGCCTCAGCAGCTTCTTTAGAAACAGGCATCTCGTCCTGACCCACGGGAAGGCCCAGGCAGGGAGAGGGCAGGATGAGCCCCTGGGCTCGGCTATGCCTGAGAGCCATAGCACTCAGATGTCCCACCTCACCGGGCAGATAAACTGGAGCTGGTTCGCTCTAGGACCAGGCAGGTCTTCCCTCCGCTCTCGGCCTCCATTTCTGAAGAAGTAACGTTTTGAACTCTGAGCTGACACACGGCAGGGGCCAACATGGTGGCTGAGGACACAAGGAGAACAAGCCCAGCCTTGCCTTCAGGAGTCTCTGTCCAACAGGACAGGGAAAACGACAGATGCAAGTTGCCTCTTTCTCCCCTCCAAAGGGCTCTGCATCCACCAGAGCTTCAAGCACCCCAAGAGACCACCTTTACTGAGGGGCCATGCAGGCTTCCCAGGGGGTGTCATTTCTAAGTCTACTGCCACCCTCAGGAGGAGCTGTGACAAGATCAATGAGAAGGAGGGTGTGGGGTTTCATATAAAATGTACCCTCCTTGCTACACAGAAGCCAGGAGTCAACCACACCCTGCTCCTATTAGCATGCCCCCCTTCTCCAGCCCCAGTAGGGACAGAAGAGAGCACAATTCTTGTGGAATGGCAAGGAAAGCAGAAACTGCTATTCCCATTAGACAGATGAAAAAACTGAGGCTCTAAAAGACTGACCTGTCCTAGGTCACATGCACCAAGTGGCAGCTCTGGGAGCACAGCAAGGTTGTCTGGCCACTGGATGATTCACCTCTTCACCACCAGGGTAGGGTGGGGGTGAACTTTTCCAGGCAGGCTGAGGCTTAAAGGTGCTAGTGCCCAGCTCAGCAAAGCCTCTCCCGGCCTGGGTCAGGCGCCTTTCTTTCCCTGTGCTTTTGCCACCCCCAGCAGCCTGGAACGAGCCCAGGCCTCCGAGTGCCAGTTGCCAAGAAGGTATCAGGAGAATCATCTCAGAATGACCCACACAGCCCTCCCCACTCCACTGTAGCCCGTGGAAAAGGCCGGAAACTGGGAAGGATCGGGGACCTCCGCGTGGAACATAATTGACATTCCTTCCCAAGTTTCATAACAGAGGCCTGCTGGTTTCCTTAAATGGGGAATTTGTGAGCCAGTCGGTTACCAGAGACCAGCTGGGTGGACGTGCTCTTGCAAAGTCTCAAACGCTACCACAGGCCCAGCCAAATTCCACGGAGGAAAATCAACCTCCGAAGAAAAGTGCTGCAGCATGGTCTCTGTGCAGAGGCTGGCTGCGGTTGTGGTTGTGTGTTATTTTAGGGAAGGGCCATTTTGCATTTTAAAGAGGGGGTTGGTTTTCACCCTGGCTTTAATTTGAGAACCAGGAGCCTCTGCAGCCCCTCGCAGGCTGGTACAGGCAGGGTCTCCACCAGCACTGTGCTGGTGTCTTCCTGGCCTCAATACTGGTCCAGAACGTCCTCCCCCAAGTCTGCTCTGCCACCCACATAATCACCCTGGTGCTGGGAGTGACTCGCCCTCCCCCCAAGCACACTTGCACTGCTAACACTGCACCACGCTGGTCTCGGAGATCGAGAAGGGTCTCCTAGCTGCAGGGCTCTTGGCACACGAAGGTGGACATTCAGATGGAGAGTCCACCCTCCTGACAATGGCCAGACACGTGCTACTCATCTGGGGAAGGACCTAGGGCGGGAGCGCCCGAGAGGGTGCCAAAAGGTAAAAGGAGCGCCAACAGGGTAAAAGGTTTCCCTGTCCCAACACTCCAAAGCCTACCTTACTCCCACAGCTGGGAGGATCCCCTTAAGCATGAATCAGACCAGGAGACTCCTCTACTGCTCCCTCCCCACATCTTTTATCACCTGATCCCTCTCTCTCCCTACAATCCCTCAGACTGGCCCAGCTCCAGCCCCTTAAGTCCCCCAGGGCCTTTGCACTGGCTAGTCCCTCTGCCTGGATGCTCTTCCCCCAAGAACACTGCATGTTTTTCGTCTCCTCTGTTTGAAGTCTCTGCCTGAAAGTCACCAAGAGGCCTTCCTAAGCTCCTCGACTATACTGGACAGGGCCTACCTATCTATAGGGCCTGCTTTATCCTCTTCCATGGCATACCTCCTTCTCAGACATGTCATCCATTTACCATCTTCTCCCCTAGTACACCAAGGAGAAGGTACTCAGGGGCAGAGACTAAGCTGTATCTGCAGCACGGAGAATGGGACCCACACACAAGTGAACACTTGCTGGATGGCCAGCTGGGAGGGGAAGGAGCTGCAGCATCCAATGCAGAGAGACAGGGAGTGGACAGGAAAGGTAACAGGGTCAAGAGTGACACGTTGGGGCTAGCAGTTGGCATGGTGGTTAAGGGCGCTGGACTCCCACATGGCCGATGGCAGTTCAAGTCCTGAACCTGGGAGCTTGCTTTCTCATTTCCCCCCTTTCTCTCTTGCTCTGTCCCTCTCAGGTCAAATTAAAAAATAAGTAAGTAAATAAATCAAGTTAAATAAAATAATTCTTTTTTAAAAATTAAAAAAAAAATAAAGAGTGACATGCTGATAATTACAGCCATTGCTGAGTAGACCATGTGCTAGCCCAGGGTTAGGGCTTACCGGACAGCTACTCCTTCAGTCTTTCCCACTGTTGAGAGTTGCCCACTTCAGCAGGACACTGCCCCCAACTATACCCTCCTGGAAGGACGGTCAGTGACACTGGGTGTCCTAAAGCCATAATACAGTACGAAGAAGCCCCAGGAAGAGACTGTTCCGCCTGCAGCACAGACACCATCCCAGTAGGCTGGCCTGGGCCCTGGGCTGCTGTAGGCAGCCCACCCACGTGGAGGGAGGTAAGAATGGCTCACAGGTTCCCAGCATGGTAGCTCCAGAAGCTAGGACTGGGGTGCTCCTCGGGCAGTGGAGGCACCAGGTTACCTTGGCCTGACCTCTGGGTGTCAAAATACTTGGACCATAAATAAAAAATATGCACAAATACACCTCTATTCACACAATACTCGTTCACATACATGCACACACTCTTGCTCATACACAGACAAACGTACTCACACATGCACATAATTAGTCACACACTAATACACACACATGCTTGCTCACACATACAAACATACTCTCACATGCACACGAACACACAATTGTGCACATGCACACATACTCACGAACATGTATGCACATTCACATGCATATTCCCTCACGTACTTACACATACTACTCATGCACACAATCTTGTTGGTGCATACACTCACACCCACACACATTCACATGCATCCTTGTACATATATACAAAGGCTCACATCCTCCCATTCCCATACTCAGTCGCTCAGACACTTGGCACACACTTGGCCTTTACACAAACCAGCTGGGTTCCAGGGGCTCCAGCTCCCTGCACGAACATCAGAAGTTAGTGCAGCATGCTGCTTAAAATAATGAACTGAGCAAAAAGTGAACCTGGCACTGCTGCACCCTCCCTGGGCTGCTCCACAAGCTCCCAAACACCAGCTTTGGTGGAGAGAGATCCCACCTGCCAGCTCTCATTCCAACCATCCTGAGCAGGCCCAGAGGCTCTCCACAGTCTGACAAATGGCCCACAAAGCCCGGCTTCAGCTTGGGCTGCAAGCAACACAGCTGGTCCCACACCAGGGGGCAGGGAAGCCACTGCCAGAGACAACGGCAAGTCAATGGCATGCACAGCTGGTGCCACCCCAGGGGGCAGGGAAGACACTGCCAGAGACAACGGCAAGTCAATGGCATCAGAAGGAGAGCCCAGGGGTCTTTGGTACTACCTCAGAGATCAGACAACATCCAACCACCAGGGGCAGCCAAAGGAAGGCTTTGGGACTCCTCCCAGAGTCCTGGCTTCAGCTAGGCAGTTGGGATGCGGAGCAGGTGGGAGCACAGGCTCCCATGCCAGAATCAGGTGCAGACTCCAGTTCTGGGGCTTTCTGACATAGGAGACCCAGGCAAGTTGAACAGAAGCTCCAGGCACTCCTTATGTGGTGAGGCCCAAGCTGGAATAATTCAGAGGTTTGTGGTAATGTTAAATGAACTAACATGTAAAGTACTAGACAAAAAATATATATAAATAAAATTTCTGTGGTCTGTCCAAGACTGAATGATGGCTGCTTCTGACAACTAAAGCAGCACAGGATTGGACAGATACAGCAGAGGGTCATCTGCAGCCAGCAGGGCAGGGCCTGGCTCCCGGCAACCTAGGTTAAGAGCGTCATGCCCCAGTGCTGCTCCCAGGCCACTAGAAGAGGGCTGAAAACTAACCAAACAAACTGTTCTCTCCTCAGAAAGTCTGGGATGAGCATGGCCTGGCCAGTCAGTGAGTTCAGCTGTGTGTCCACAACCTCTCTATCCCAGCCTTTGGTTCTGCATGCTTAGCCTTACCACTGTTCACACAATCTCCACCTGGAACTCGTGGCTTGGCCCTAGGCCTTTGAGCAACAAGGTGAGTTCAGCCACAACAAGAAGTGGATGGAGACAAAGAACAACTTCCAGAACAGACCAGAGAAACCACCTCTGGCAAGTTCTGCTTGCAGAAGAGTTATACTTTTTGACCTGCATTCCAGCCAAAGCAGTTATAGAACAGGTGTGAGGTGCACATTCCACCTGCCAGACAGCCCACAGTTCCCCATCATACACACAACAAAGACATTTAAATCCATGGCTGACCACATCTGTTGCCTCAGATGTGGCAAGTCTAAAAATAAATAAATAAATAACACATGACTAAGGAATACAAAGGGGAAATAACTCCCAACAACAAATCTTGGAAAGGTGAACGCGTTTTGAGATGGCCACGTTTTCCTGAAAAAGAAAATTGGACTTAAGCAAATTCAAGAGGGCAAGACCGCCACCCCTATCCCCCAGAACCAGGAAAAGCAGCTGGTTTACCCGTGAGCAGGATCCAAGGCGATGGCCCTTGGCTGGTCGAGGTCCTGCCAGAAGAGGACCTTCCGGGATGTTCCGTTGAGGTTAGCCACCTCAATGCGATTGGTCTCTGAGTCCGTCCAGTAAAGCTTCTTGCCAACCCAGTCACAGGCCAGGCCATCGGGTGAGACCAGGCCGGAGATGACCACGTTCTGCACTGCGGCCCCTGTCTGGTTCAGATAGGTCTGCTTGATGGCCTCCTCGCTCACATCCGTCCAGTACACAGCTCCCTTGGAGAACTGGAAATCTACTGCAGCTGCATCTTCCAGGCCGCTAACCACAATGGTGGACTCCAGCTTGACTCCGCCAGCATCCACCAGCCGTACGTCCCGGCGGTTGGCAAACAGCAGGAGAGGTGAGGCTGTGAGGCAGAAGAAACTGTGAGGGCTGCTGGCCAAGCTAGCCTGATTGTGACTCTAGGATGGGGGACACTGTGCACAAACACTCCTGGCACCTGCCCCAGGACCTCCAGCTCCCTCCTCCCTCCCCCAAAGAACTGCCAAGAAGTTGCCTGGGGAGGTGCCCCAGTCCTTCCAACCCAGCAGATGTACTGGACTCATCGCCAGCTACCGTTTACTGAGCAACTGTTATGTAATCCCGCTAGGCATGGATAACTTCCTGCCACACCTACCACCTCAAGCAGATATGCTACAGACAAGGCCACAGGGTCTACCAGAGACTGTGGGGCCTGGTCCAGCTCTGCAGAGAAACCGCATCGCCTTCCTCAGCCTGGTGCAGGTGAGGGAACAGAAGGGCATAGCCCTGGCTATGCTATTTAACAGAGGCCTGGTCAGGAGCCCAGGCTTTGCAAGGCAGCTCAGGCTGGGACATGGAGCTCAGGCCTGACAGAGCCTCAAGATTGGGGACCAGCAGTTAGCGTAATGGCTATGTCGCTGGACTCCCATGTAGTCGACGGCGGTTTGTGTCCCAGACCTGGTGGCTTAAAACTCACGCCGGGCACGTGTGCGTGCATGCCCAAGATCCCGAGAGGAGAATGGAAGAGAAGGGATTGCGGCATGGCCATCTCCCCTGGGGAGTGATTTCTCACTTTCTATCTCTCTGTCTCTCTCTGTCTGGCGAGTGCACGCGCCCTATAGCGAAAACCTCTCCCCCCCCGAAAAAAAAAGATTCCCTTACAAGTCTTTGGTCACTATCCAAGCTCAAGACCCTTCCTGGAACTGTGGCCTCAGCTTCCCTCTACATTCCGTGTCTTCCTTACCCTGATCCTAGACACCCCTAGGATGATCAAGCTTAAAAGGTCACCAGAAATGCATCTCCTCAGCTCGAATACCTTCAACAGCTCCCTGTGTCAGAGTTGTGCAGGACAAGGTTAGGCTCTCTGGCCTGGCCTCCAAGGCTTCTGGCCTCCTGTCTCACCTAATCTACTCTTCTCTTCTCTTCCACTCCCACCCATACCCAAACATTCTGATCTACCCCACAGCCAGGCAATTTCCCTCACCTTCCTCTTTTTCTATAGCCTTCATCCCACAGATAAGCAAAGGGCTCATTTCCACAATGAGGTGTCCTGAGACCATCACCCCACCAGATGCCTCAAATCCCAGAGGCCAGTCCAAAAGGATCCAATAACTTTCCACCCCAACACATACACACACACACACACACACACACACACCAGAGAGACCATGAAGCCATATCAGGTGTGGCTTGAGGAGGTGGGGAACCCTAAAGAGCTCTAAACTGAGTGATGGTCCATGTCTACTGCTAGCGGGATTAGGCTGGAATGGCCACAAATACCTGTTAAAAAACCACCCTACGATTTGGCTACAAGTAGCTAACACTTCTTGTAGAAGCTACAGACCACTGGGCTCTCCTGCAGAGATGAGGGACCTAGCAAACCCCAAACTCCTACCCCCACCAATATGTTCCTTGGAAACAGAAATCAAAACAACTCAAGAACCAAAAATCACATAACTAACTTTTACATTTAGTTCAATTAGTTTTGTTTTAGCAGAAGAAGGGTTTGTTTGCTGCCTCTGAGAGGCTACCAAGGAATATCAGAGACCAGAATACAAAGGATGAGATGCCCACGCAGTAGAATAGATGGTTCGGAGCTCAGGCTCCACTGCCAGGATGAGCACTACCTCAAATCTCAGCCCCTCCAATCCCCAGGTGACCTCGTCTGCAGGATAAGAGAATGAACGGAGGAACTAAGGTTGTAAACACTTATAGCAAGAGCACCATCCCCTATCTCACCATTATTGTATCAGGTCTACAATTCTTTGTGGCAGGAAGGGACAGAGTGCAAATCAAATACTGAGAGGGGACAAACAAAAGAAAAAATAGACAAATTGGACTTTATAAAAAATTTTAAAATTTTATGCATCAAAAGGTGCTATCAACAGAGTAAAAAGGCAACCCACAGAATGGGAGAAAATATTTGCAAATCAAATTTTTCATGTGGATTAATATTGAGAATATACATAGAATTTTTTTTTTTTTGAGAGGTTTTCGCTATAGGGCGCGTGCGCTCGCCAGACAGAGACATAGAGACAGAAAGCAAGAAATCATCCCCCAGGGGGGATGGTCATGCCACAATCCCTTCTCCTCCATTCCCCTCTCGGGATCTTGGGCATGCACGCACACGCGCCTGGCGTGAGTTTTAAGCCACCGGGTCTGGGACACGAACTGCAATCGACTATGTGGGAGTCCAGCGACATAGCCATTATACTAACTGCTGGTTCCCAATATACATAGAATTTTTGAAACTCAACCATCCCAGTTCAAAAATTGGCAAAGAACTTGAACCAACATTTCTCCAAAGAAGATATATAAATGGTCAATAAGATTTTCAACATTCCCAACCATTAGGGAAATGCAAATCAAAACTACAATGAGATACTGCCTCACACCCACTAGGACAGCTATTATTAAAAAAAAATAGGAAATAGTAAGCATTGCTGCAGATGTGGAGAAACTGGAACTCTTGTTACACTATTGGTGGGAATGTGAAATGGTATATCTGCTATGGAAAATACTATAGTGATTCCTCAAAAAATTAAACTAGAATTGGCATATGATCCAGCAGTGCCACTTCAGGATCTATACCCAAAAGAACTGAAAACGAACTGTCTCAAACAGATATTTGTAAACTCATGTTTATAGTAGCATTATTGACAAAACAGTTAAACCCTGGAAGCAACTTAAATGTCCACTAACAGATGAATGGATGAGCAAAATGTAGTACATAATGAATAAACAATCTCTTTAAAAAGGAAAGAGATTCTGACATGCACATTATGGATGAACCTTGTGGGTATTACACTAACTGAGAGAAGCCAGTCACGAAACTACAAATACTGCTCGTATGAGGTTTCTAGAGTAGTCAAATTCATAGAGACAGAAAAGGTAGTAGGTGCCAGGGGCTGGAAAGAAGGGAATGGGGAGTGGTTGATTAACAGAGTTTAGATAAGGAAGATGAAAAGAGTTCTAGAGAAGGAATGGCCATGATAGCCACACAGCAGTATGAATATATTTATCCCACTGAACTGTACTCATAAAATAGTTAAGATGAAGGACCAGCAGGTGGGGTGGTGCTTAAGGTACTGAACTCCTACATGGCTGACCATGGTTCAAATCCCAGACCTGGTGGTCTGCTTTTTCACTTCTCTTTCTCTCTCTGGCCAAATTAAAAAATAATAATAAACAAATAAAAATAAAATAAAATAATTCTTTTCAAAAAAATAGTTAAAGCCAACAGCTGGTGTAGTAGTTAAGGTGCTGGACACCCACATGGACGACAGTGGTTCGAATCCTGGACTTAGCAGCTTGAAACTCACGCTGGAAGTGTGCCCAAGCCCCAAGAGGACTTCTCACTTTCTCTCTCTCTCTATCTCACCAGGAAGTGTGTGTGCCCTACAGCAAAAAAAAAAAGAAAAAAAGAAAAAAAAAAAAAAACCTCTCTAAAAATAATTAGTTAGTTAAAATGGTACATTGTATTTTAGGCATATTTTTCCAAAGTAAAAACTTTTTTTTTTTTTGGAGAGGTTTTTTGCTATAGGACGCGTGTGCTCGCCAGAAAGACAGAGAGAGACAGAGAGACAGAAAGCAAGAAATCACCCCCCGGGTGGGTGGCCAGGCCGTAATCCCTTCTCCTCCATTCCCCTCTCAGGATCTTGGACATGCACAGGCATGTGCCCGGCATGAGTTTAAGCCACCAGGTCTGGGACTTGAGCCATGATCGACTACATGGGAGTCCAGCAACATAGCCATTATACTAACTGCTGGTCCCGCCAAAATAAAAACTTTAAAAAAAGAAAAAAAAAAAAACAACCAATGGGGTGTTAGGACTGCAACTGCACTGGGCATTCTGACCTCTCACAAGGAGCAGCTGGCCAGAGCAAAGAACATCTGTCATCCACTCTTACCCCCTGCCTGCCCCAAACAGGTCCAAACAGAAAATAAACAAAAGTCATGGTCAAAGATTGATGGCTCTTTGCAGTTCACATACATGTTCATCTCCTGGTCCTACACCTGCTCAGGCTATGGGTGATATCCCCCTGTACAGAGAGGAAGACCAAGTTTAGAGGGGAACTTGCACAGTTATGGTCAAGATCTCAGGGGGCACCAAAGGCCTCAGTGCTTTGGGACACTCTAGCGTAACTTTGTTACAAAGGTGTGTTCAGTTTGTAAAAATGCATCACTTTTCTTTTCTTTTCTCTTTTTAGGTTTTGCCATAGGGAGCGTACGCTCACTGGAGGGAGGCAGAAACAAAGAGAGGGAAAATAAGTCACATCCCCTCTCCCCACTGGGGATGGCCATGCTACAAGCCTTTCTCCATTCTCCTCCTGAGATTTTGGGCACACCAGCATACATATTCGGCGTAATTTTCAAGCCACTGGGTCTGGGATTCAAACCATGGTTGACCATGTGGGAGTTCCGTGCCTTAACCACCACGCCACCTGCTGGCCCCACAATGCATCACTTTTCTTTGTTTATATACTTTAATAAAGAAGTTTTGAAAATTAAAAACAGAACTGTCTGCAGTCCCTTGCTTCAAGGCTACCCTCTCAGCTAATCATAGGACCCTCCCCAACACAATGAGGATTCCAGGTTTGTGCACCCCAGGACTCATCCA